GCAAACACATTGGTGATTTAAAAATATACCTTTGGAAATAACATTAAGACGTCCAAAACACACACTCCTGCTGCTAATAATTTTGTGGCTACCAGGAATAGTACCTCTTTACCTTCAAATGCCTGGTAAACCGGAATGTTCCTCTTTCCTCTTAAAAGTTCCTCCTGAAAGTTAGTACCGAGGGAGAAATACCTCACCAGGGAGGGCATTTCACAAGTGGAGAAGCGCCACCAAGAAGGCCCTGTCATGGGACAACACCAACCAGACATCCGCCTAGGGCCTAGGCCTTACGAACAGGGCCTTCAATGGTGTTTACTGCCAGGAAAGTGTGTATGAGACTGCAGCCTGTGTGTGTGTGTCTGTTTTTTTGCTGCACTGACACAATAGAGAGTTTGGGGGACTAGCCCCCTCAGGGGATCAGCCAGGTTTTGGCTCCCAGTGCCCTGCCCTCAAACAACCCCTTGGGCGCTTTGATACTGCCAGCAGGAGGATATTGTCCTCCTTTAAGTCCAATCAAGTCTATAGCACATAATTTGCTATCTAGAGAGGATCCCTTCCATGCCTGGTGTATCGATATTATTTGGCCACTTCTGTCCCATTATTTGCTTCTTATGCAACAACAAATACTGTAAAAACCTAGAATAAACACTGTCTGCCCTCTGACCACTTTTCCAAGAAACAGTTCAAGTATTTTCCAAAAAAGCAACAGCAATGTAGGAAGTTTTCCAACTTGGCATTGCTAGCATGCTAGGCATGCCAAAGGTTTTGTCCTACTTGCTGGGGTCAGAAATGCACACTGTACAGTGTGGGCACGTTACCGTTCCTCCCTCATGGCTTATGTAAGCAATGTTTGTCGTGGATGAAATACTGTAACCATAAGGCTCAGAGCACTTCGCATAACTTCATTGCGATCTTCTTCTTGTCAAAAACAATTGCTTTTGACTGATTATAAATGCAACATTCCAGAACACTTGCTTATTACCATCCATCATTTATATAACCCTTTTATATGGGTTCTACAGCCTTTTTGCTGCTTGTTCTCTCTACTACCAGGTAAGAGGATGGCTTGAAGTCTACAGCATGCTATTATTTGAAGGAGAACTACCTGAAAATGATTCACAGGTGGTATTTAACTCCGAGTAGGCTTGCTAAGATGCATAAGTCTGAATCAGATAAGTGCTGGAGATGCAAAGAGGCGGAGGGACTTGTGGTGGACTTGTAAAAGGGTAAAAGAGAACTGGGAAATGATCCATAATGAATTGAAAGAAAAATGTTCAAAAGTACTTTCCACCCAAAACCAGAGTCCTTTCTGTTGGGGATAATTCATACGGAAATTCCCAGGTGTCAAAAAAAGGTTATTTATGTATACTACTACTGCGGGTGGCGTTGTGGGTTAAACCACAGAGCCTAGGGCTTGCCGATCAGAAGGTCGGCGGTTCGAATCCCCGCGACGGGGTGAGCTCCCATTGCTCGGTCCCTGCTCCTGCCAACCTAGCAGTTCAAAAGCATGGCAAAGTGCAAGTAGATAAATAGGTACCACTCCGGCGGGAAGGTAAACGGCATTTCCGTGCGCTGCTCTGGTTCGCCAGAAGCGGCTTAGTCATGCTGGCCACGACCCGGAAGCTGTACACTGGCTCCCAAGGCCAGTAAAGCGAGATGAGCGCCGCAACCCCAGAGTCGGTCACGACTGGACCTAATGGTCAGGGGTCCCTACCTTTACTACTGCGGCCCGTGTTTTGTTAACCCCAAAAATGGAAAACAAGCAAGTTCCTAACTAAAGAAGAATGGCAACTTGAGTTGACAGAATATGCACAACTCGCAGACTTAAACATATAGAATAAGAGAAGAAGAAGAAGAACATACGTTTAAAGAAGATTGGAAAATGTTTATCGAATATATGGAAAATAATTGTGCACAGCTGGAAATGCTGGCAGCGTTAAGATAAACTCAGCAGTGTAAACAAGTTTTGATGGATGCAGTAATGGAATACTGAATGGTATAGTTTTTGTAAAATATGCATGGATTTATGATATGTAAAATGAACCATGGAAAGAGAAGAAGGGAAGTCACTGATAGCTTAAGGATGTAAAATGAGTCTTTTAAATTGTAAAACAGAAAATTTTATAAAAATTATATATATGTATATGAAATTTAGAGGAGATTTTAGAGCGGTGCAAGCAGTTCTGCTGCACTGGGCGCCGCGCTGCAGGGGGCGCCACAACAACCCTGTAGAACAGCGCAAGAGAGGCAGGGAGGGACGGGTTATAGTGTTGCACAGGGTGCCGCTGAATTTTGAGAGCCCTCAACATTCGCCATTGGCAAGTATCATTTTTCTGTGGTTGGAGAACTAAATCCAGCCCCCTTCTTCCTAAGTAGAGAATAGGTGCTGTCACCAACTATCCGTCTGGGGCTATGCAGACATGGCCCCAGTATCCAGATCAACCCAGGGTCCAGCATATATGCCGAGTGCCGCATTCAGCTATGGATATGTGCAAGAAAAAACACGTTTCCATTTGCATATGCCCAAACTGGATTGGGGTTAATGGTAAGAGTAATATCTAATCACTGTGGCAAGTAGGATATGCAATTCAAAATACTATACCACTATATATATATTTTAAATATACTTTTATTATTATTATTTTTTAAAAATCACGTGCAATAAAACTCTGTAATGTTCACAGCGTTAAAATGTCACTAATAGAAAATATTGGTTTCTTATGTATAAGAAACTAGCATTTAAGTGAATTATTTCTCAAAATTAGCATTTAGGCTAATTTCTTTATCTTGCAGATTCAAATTTGATTGGGGTACCTGGCTGGTGTGCTTCTTTAAGAGGTTTCTATTCTGATGCTCAGACATGACACAGGTTGTTGCTGGCATCCGTCTGTCTCGAGAGACAATGGAGTCCGCCTCCGGGTGTAAAGTCAAACCGCTGCATTAGCAGCACCAAAGTGGCCTGCCCTGGGCAGTGTGTATGGAGGTCCTGGGCTGCCCAGATGACAAGACCTCCCTCTTGGCCTCACTGCTGTGGTCAAAAGGAAAGCAATGCATTTGGCACCAGCTTGGCTGCAGGAGTTGTTAGATGGATGATACAGCTTAGTTAGGGTTTACTCCTTAGCCTCTTCTTCTCCCAAAGATATTGCCCAAAGCAGTGGAGGTTTAGGACCAGAGTTTTCCTTCTCCTAGATGGACTACCTCCCTAGGTTGATGAGCCCCATCTGCCCCTCACTTCCCTCTACAGCACGTGCAGAAACCGCCTTCTTGACCACTGGACCCACTATTGGTCTTGTCTGCTCAATTCACCAGTGCCTGTCTTTGCCTGCAGGGGAAGTCCCATGTCCCATGTCCCAAGAGATCATCAGGAATAGGAATGCCAGAAAGTGCTCAGATCAAATCAATGACTTATTAAGCACTTCTTGAGACTTACTCACTGTTAAGTTATGGGTGAACATATCAGACGACACAGCGATTCTTCAAACAGCTCTTGTTTATTCACAGATCCAGAACTGAACTGAACTGAAGAGTTCAGCCAGCCTGCTTATACAGAGCTCCACTACAACACAACAGTAACAACTTTATGTAACTATCCAATCACTGAACGTCTCTGTCAATTCCTTATTTGCATATGTGGACCTGAGTGAAAACTATCTACACTATCCGCCTGCTGGCCCAGGGTGAGAACTTCAGTACATAACACCCACACTGTTTTAGGAATATCAGTGTAAACCTTAGTTCAAAGCTTGACATGACTAGGTTGTGCAAGAACCAATTTTTAATGAAAGATAAAACTATTCTGTAAATATTATTTGCAGGTATTGCACACATGTCCTGCTCGTGAGCTTCAGCAGGCATCTGGTGTGAAGAAGAGTCCTGGACTAGAGATGGAGATGTTGGAGTACAGAAGTCTTCCTCCCCTCTTGTTTGCTAATGTCTAACTGAGCATATATTGGGCATTTTGCTTGCTGTGTTTTCAAAATAATTCATAACCGCATAGAATAGTGTCTCTTCTCTGGGACTACAGATGATTTTAAACATATGCCAGTTATGTGAAGAGGAGCAGATTCAAGAACGGCAGTGGCCTCACCAAACATCGTGCAGCTACTGATTGTGCTGCACAGAACCGCAACCCTAAAAGCCCTCCCAGAGGGCTACTAAACGGCAAGACAGGCCACCAATGAGATGGAAGATTTTTTAAAAAATCCATATGATTACATCATCAGAGCATAGTTTCATTGGCTGATGCTGTTTCTGAAGGCAGGGTGCTGTTACCTAGCAACGTCTGAGAGGCTATGACGAAACCCTGTTTTAACACTTTCTGTTGTTTTGTAACAGTGACCTAGTTTTGCTTTATAGGTCATTTAAAAATGCAACAATTCCAATTGAAATGGGATTTTTAATTTTTGCAGACAGAACATCACATTGCAGCTCAGTTCCGGAGAGTTCTCTGTAGGTTTGGGCACTAACATCAATAGCCTGAGAAAAATACCATACCCTCCAACATTTCTCTGATGAAAATAGGGGTGTCCTATTCAATAATAATAATAATAATAATAATAATAATAATTTTATTATTTATACCCTGCCCATCTGACTGGGTTGGCCCAGCCACACTGGGAGGCTTCCAACATATATAAAAGCATAATAAACATTAAAAATACTTCCCTATACAGGACTGCCTTCAAATATCTTCTAGAGGTTGTATACTTACTTATCTCCTTGACTCACATCCCCACGTTCAATATTGTTTGTGTCTGCAAAGGTTTTGGGGCAGACATACTGCTTCCTTTCCAGTTGGTCTCATAGCTTCCTGCTGAAACCCAGTAACTTTTCATACCACAAATGTCCTGGGGTGGGGTAATGTTGTGTGTGTGTGTCACTTTTTTGTGCTATACCACAATCATGCTCCTCTAGACAGCAACAACACAATAAAATTGTTGAAGCCCTGCAGAACAACTAATAAAGGGAGGAATGATGTGTAGACTGTCTAGTATAAATCTACCCCTGGGGTATTGCTCAGTCAGTAGAGCGTGATCCTCTTAATTTCAGGTCGTGGGTTCGAGCCCCACGCTGGGCAAAAGATTCCTGTTGGTTGTGAGGAAATCACTGACTTTCCATTCATTTTTTTAAAGCCCCACTGAAAGTACGGCCATCAACCAGAATTTTTTATTTCAGGGGGTGGCAATCTATCTGGTTAGAGTTCCCTATTCTCCTCACAGAACTACAGTTTACAGGGAATAAAATATGAGTGTTCAGCCAGTGATTTTTTATGGTGCTAATTACTATACAGTTTGCCTTGAAGGAAAAGAAATGTGCTTGAGAAATGTATTCCTACATGAAAGGACCATAAGTTGAGGCAAACAATTTCTTAATCAGTCCCTAATATTAAAGTTGTCAACTTTATGTCTGTTTTCTGTCAGCTGTTCTGTATCATCTCAGCAAAGCAAAACTTTGAAATGCTAACACATTTGTTTACTTTAAGCCCAGAACTGCTCCAGTGAAGTGAAAAACAGACAGGAAATGTATACTCTGAGGAATATATGCTTTAAATATTTGGCTTAAAATAGCTGCTATTGATTCAATCTGTGCACAGATTAGTATGAAGCATTTAAAATGGCTGCAGTTTGAGGAGGATGTTCGCTAAAGCAGTGGTTCTTAAACTTTTTTCTCTGGGCTACGCTTTCAGAATAAAAAATTGCTCAAGCCACACCGAATTTTTAATTGATAAGAAATGCATTGCAAAACAAAAATAAACAACTCCACTTCCCTAGGGAAATCCAGCTTTGATTTATTAAGCATTGGATCAGACTTGGCTGATAGACTAATTGTACCACTATCAACAATTAAGAAACAAAAGAATACTGCATGGCAATAAAAGGCAAACATATAAGAATAGTTGGGGATGGAGGTGGGCTGTGTGGTTTCTGTGTGAATTACGGTATATATCAGCCATGCTGTGATCCCCTCACCAAACTTCTGAAAACACATATGCAGAAAACGCTGCATACAAAACGATCTGTGGGACGGAAAGCAAAGTTTCAGCATTTAAACATCAGGCCAATTCTCAACACACTTGTGGGTAAGAGCCTAATTGAAATGAATGGGGCTTGCTTTGGCAGGCTGTTGGACGATCGCAGTTACAATCTTCCTCCGGCAACACTTTAATAAATGCTTCAAAATCTCATTTATTCCAAGAGATAAAACTTCACAGGCATTATATTACATGTTCAGCCAACCAGACTGCCAGATCTGATTGCACGTAAGCCAGCTATTATGGAAACTCAGCAATAATTTGGCCAGAATCCCTCTAAACAGGTAGATAATCTTTCCAACTGGAACAGAGAAATAAAATGTGTTTTTGCTTGAACAGACCCTTTAGACAGCAATTTTTGGCTCAAAATACCGGTGCTAAAAGTAAAATACAGAACCATTTTGCCTGAAGTAGAGCTGTACTGTGCTCAAAAGCTGACAAAGGGTTGCTGCTGGTGTTTGATCTAGATCCTATGTCTTGCTGGAATCGCTGTGTAGGCAGACCATCGTGCTTCAACAGATGAGGACATGTTCAAACATAATAACAAGGATGATTTTACCTGGGGATAACTAGCTGTCTCGAAGACTTTGGTTAGTACTTATACTTTGGTCAGTATAAGTAAGTACAGGCCTTTTTTTTCAGCCAGAACTCACCAGAACACAATTCCGGCACCTCTCAGGTGGGTGCCATTGCCATTGTAAGAGAACAAGGCAGGCATTCATGGTGCTTACTGGCACCTCTTTTTCTAGAAAAATAGCTCTGACTAAGTATACTTAGTAAGTAAACGTAAAGGATGCAGGTGGCGCTGTGGTCTAAACCACTGAGCTTCTTGGGCTTGCCAATCAGAAGGTCGGCAGTTCGAATCTGCACAACGGGCTGAGTTCCCATTGCTCTTTCCCAGCTCCTGCCAACCTAGCAGTTTGAAAGCACACCAGTGCAAGTAGATAAATAGGTACTGCTGTGGCAGGAAGGCAAATGGCCTTTCCGTGCGCTCTGGTTTCCATCACGGTGTACCGTTGCACCAGTACCGTTTAGTCATGCTGGCCACATGACCCAGGAAAGCTGTCTGTGGCCAAACGCCGGCTCCCTCGGCCTGAAAGCAAGATGAGCGCCACAACCCCAGAGTCACCTTTGACTGGGCTTAACCATCCAGGCATCCTTTACATTTATCTTTACTTAGTAAATATAAATACCTCAAACAAACCGACTTCTACTGAGATCCTTAAAACTTGGTCCGCATTATTGCAGAATCAGATGAGGTGTCCAATGTGATGGTAAGGATTTGCTGAACTAACAAACTGAACTGGAATACAAAAAAGGGAGGTATGAGGAGGTCCGGGGAAATAAGTCTAGGGAAGATAGGTTTGGAAAATTAATGTCTTTTTAACTGTTTTATTTTGTATATTTCTTTTTATCCTTTACTTTTTTGTTATACTTTAAAAAACTTTACTCTTTTTTCTGTATTTTGTATTTCTTGTATTTTTTGAAACTTTAATAAATATCATTTAAAAAAAAAAAAAAAAGTGACATCTTGCCTGATCAGTAACTTGAGCAAATCATCAGAAATACAAAATATTTCTGATTATGGTCATAATCATTACTTGCATAAAATAGCAAAATAAAGCAAATTTGTATGGTGTCTGGTACAAGTGGACGCATCAGGAAAAAGAGCCCCACCCCCCAGTAGAATTCCTATTGCTTTAAATTTAATGGAACAGGGCTGGTCCAAAATATTTTGCTACCTGAGGAAAAGTAGTAAATTTAGAAATTATTACTACAATTTAAAGAGAAATGCAACACCATAGTGAATAAATCTCTACACCTGCTCAGTCTAGGGGTGTTAACTTTAATGGGCAATTTCAAGGTCCTTGCTCTCCCTACTAATGGTTTTTCTAGAGTAGGGTTTCCATACCCTCCAACATTTCTCCGATTAAAATAGGGATGTTCTTTTTTTTTTTAATGATATTTATTGAGGATTTTAAAGTTACAAAGAAAAAAGAAGAAAAAACCTAGAAAAAGAGAAAAAGAAAGAAAAAAAATAGACACAAGTAGCAATTAAACAATACAAATCAATAAAAACCAAAATCAAAAAGAAAAAACAAAACACACAAAACATCACAATCAAAAAGCAAAAATAAACAAAAAATTTAAAAGCAAATCCAATATTCCCAAATCCTTACCTTTCATTAACTTATTTCATCGACCTCCTCACACCTCCCTTTTTTGTATTCTAGTTGTTAATTATCTTAGCAAATCCTTTCCATCTTTCACAATATTCTGTCATTAAATTACCTTATTCTATTTTAACCTTATCTTACCATAAAAAACCCTAAACTTAAAACTTAAATCTTATTTATACCGAATGCTAAAGCCAAATACTTTCATTCCAACATTTTTCTAGTACTTATTAATTTTACGATACTTTTCTAAATGAATTTTTTAAGACTTTTTTCCAATCTTCATCCATTGTCTCTTCTTCCTGGTCTCGGGTTTTGTCAGTCCTTTCTATCCCATCCATCTAGTCCATCAACCTGGTAACCTTATATCCGAGGCTCTTAAGTCTTTTCCATGTCCCTTCCGCAGGTCTTCTTCATGTTTATACCTGTACTTTACTTTGTCTTCTGCTCCTTTCACTCGGGGAGACTCCAGCTTGACAATATTTTTGTCCCTTCTCAACAAGTCAGCCCCTTTTCCATAGTCAACACTGAAATCCATGTGGTATTTGAAGGCATGTTTCAAGGCCCCTCCAAAGTTGGGGCCCCCCACAACTCCGAGCTCCCCCCGGCCTAAAGCCAGACTTGAAAGATCAAAACATCCCTGCATAGGGGGGTCCATCCAGCCCCCCATCTCCAAGCCAAACAGAACTCCATCTCTCCAAATCTGACTTTTTCCAGGTTCATTCGTCAAATCCAACAACTCATGTTCCTGCTGGGCCACAGCTCCCTCCATCTCTGCCTCCCGAGGTCCAGCAACAACCTCCTCCCTCATCTGATCTGTCAAAGCACATTCCTGGATTAATTCCTGAGTGGGTTCTATATAGGTACCCACTGCCTGTCCAAAATTTCCGATCGCAACAGTCATCAAGTCCATCTTCTCATGTAACTGTTCCAATAAAGCACTTGTCTTGCAAAAAGCAAGCACCAGAGCCTCTGAGCACATTCTTGTTCAAGGTCGAAGTCTGGTCCCACGATCTTAATCTTTACAGCTGCAGAGCTCCCCAGTTCGACTTTAATAACAGTTTCACAAGCTCCCTCTAGGGGAAACAATTTCTATTTGTATCCATCTCTCTCTCTCTCTCTCTCTCTTTTTTAAAAAAGCAGATCTAGCAACAAAGTTTTCCTTTTTCGGATATTTTGTCAATATTTTGTTCCTTTTAAATGCGAAAGGGAACAATGGAATCAATATGTTTCTCTTCTTTTAACTATCTGTCAAAAACGTTTGTCCATAGTCAATGAACTTCTCCAAAACGTCTGTCTTGACACCCCGCTCCCAGGTTCAAGACGGTGGAAAATTACCTTTCTTTACTCTCTCTTCTGCAGGTTTAAACAGTCTAAAAAAGGTTCCCCCCTCTTCTCCTGCTTCCAAGGGGGGTTCAGTAATTTTAAATGATGAAAATTTAGTCCTTTACAGACGACTTTCTAAACTCTAGCTTGCAGTGTCTTTGCTTCAATCTATCTACAAAAGCGGAAGGCGGACTTCCTGTTTAGACCTTCCCGCTTTCGGTACCTAATTAAGAGATTTCATAGTCCAATTTTCCGTTCTACTCACGGGCAGTTGTTTAAAATCCAATTGTCCACAGGAAAAAGTCAGCGCTCTCCGGCAACAGCAATGCGGCTTCACTCCGTGAAAGAAGCAGTCGATTCAAAGCACCGCGCCACTCACCCCACGTCGCTCCGGATCCCCAAAACAGGGTTTCCCCATGAGTGGGGGGGCGCAAAGGTGCCAGCCGAATCCCACGTCCACAGGCTTCTCCCGCCTGTGGTTTTTGATGGGTCTCCGCCTTGCCGTGGCGGTTCAGACCCTGTTTTCCACGGAGCGGATTCCTC